TAGCTCCATGTGCCTTGTCATTAGGAATATGAAGCAGAGAGAGTGTGTCTGGCCTCCAGTGAGCTATGTATCTCCATCGTACCTCCAAATGAGGCCTTAAACTGTGACCTGATTGACAGGCTAGACTCCACCCCTTCCTCCAGTTGACAGTAGATTATGTAACTGCCACAGGCACCAACCGTGGTACTATCCTTCTCTGCTGCAGAGGCCACAGAGAATTTACAGACAATATTAGGGTAGTGTATTAGGGTATTTACCAGGTCACCTCAAGTCAAGAATAAAAAGACATCAAAGATTCAGTGCTCTGTCCACAGCAGTACCTCTTCTCAGGCAGCAGTCATACGTCTTTAGAGTCCTCAGCTCCCAGCCACGTAGTGGCCGGGCTCTTGGCTGGTTTGGTGGGTTGGGAAGCCCACCTATTACTCTGTCTCATGATTCCAACAGTCAGCTCTGCTGCCGTCTGGGCGTGGCTTCTCTGGTGCACCTGCTGCTGCCTTCAGTACTTCAGACGGGGATGTCCCATGTGCTCCGCTAGTGGCTCTTCTCTGGGAATCCTCTGAGTTTGAGTCCTCTGCTGTTTATTTGCATGGTCCCACCCAAGGACTGCGTGTCTAAGACAGGGAAGGAAGAGCTATAGTTAATTTCATTTTATCACACCCTCATAATCGTATTACCTGTTCAGTTCTGTGTAACCATGGCAAAGAATAATGGAACCAAAAGAGAAGCCCAGAGTGTCGTGAGAGGGGCGGGTAGGGTCAGAATTGGTAGAAACGTTGGAGGGGAGGCATGTCTGGTGTCTGTCTCATAGAATCAGTTTTGGGCAGTTGGTATGATTCTTCCCAACCCTTACCAACCTCGGCAAGAACATTGTTTAAAGTGGCACTGGCTTTTCTTTGAGTCCCTTTACTTGGCATCTTTGGGTCTTTGCTTGCAACAACCAGTGCCCCTGATTTGCCCATGTCCTTAGCACCTGTTTACCTTGCTTACTGGGTAATCTGGGAATCTGTCTCTGCCTCTGTGGTAGTTACATAATCTGGTGTCCATTTGTGAAGGGGTGGAGTCTAGCCTGTCAATCAGGTCGCAGTTTGATGACCTCATTTGGAGGCGCCATGGAGATAAATAGCTCAAGGAGGCCAGATACACACACCTTGGCTTCCTCTTCCTGCTGACAAGACACCCCGGGTTACGCTGCAACCCTGGAGCTGGAGGGGCCACGTGGAGACCTCTGCCAGTGTTGAGATGCTCTCATGCCCGTGCAATACTATTTTACGACTGAGAAACCGAAGTCACGGAGCAGGAAGTGGCTCCTGATGTGTTGGACTCTGTCTAGACTCAGGTTCAAAACTCACTGCTAGGGATTCGATGTCAACTCATAGCGATTTAAGGGACAGGGCAGAACTCCCCCTGTGAGTTTCCAAGATTGTAACTCTTTATGGGAATACAAAGGCCCGTTTTTCTCTCTCAGAGCGGCTGGTGGTTTCAAACTGCTGACCTTGGCGAGCACTAGGCCACCAAGGGTCCTTATGGTCATAGAGAGCCTGTAAATTGCCCCCGCTGGGCCGGGCCTTCGCCCATGGTCCTGGCGACTGAGCCGGACCTCAGGAACCCGGCCCCTTCCTGACCTTTCAGTAAATGTTCGACTTTATCTTGGAGCCTCCAAACCGCCTCAAGGGGCTCAGAGCTTGGCCTGGAGGTTCTGAGGCAGCACGGAGCCCCAGCGAGGTGCACGAGCTAACTACGAGGGCTCACAGGGGGCTTTCAATGGACGCGTGCATAAGTCCTCGTTGCCCTTCCTAACACGCAGGAGGGAGTGCACAGGATTCCACAGGACACGCCGGGCGCCCTCGCAGGTGCAGGCACTTCCGCCCTGTCCCGCTGCAAACCTGGGCGGGCGCGCATGCGCACTCTCCCAGTAGGCCCCAGAACAGCCGGGTAACAGGCTTTTCCTCGCGCAACCAAATGCTGTGCGCTGATTGGATCAGGTCTGAGACGGCGTTCTCGGGGAACCAATGAGCCGTCGGAAGCGGGCCCTGCTCACCAATGAGCCGTCGGGGGGCGGGCCTGCGTTGCCCGGGCGCCGAGCCAGGGGCCGGAGTGGCGCGCGGCGCTGCGATGTGCCTCCTGCTGGGAGCCGCTGGCGTCGGGAAGACGCTGCTTGTGAAGCGCCTGCAGAATATCCTTCCGCGCAGCGAGGGGCGCCGGTGGGGGGCACGGGGTACCCCCTCCACACGCGGTCCCGCTGGGCTCCTTGACCGCCGGCACAGCTGAGCGCCCACGACGGGAAGGGCGACCTGGGGGACCCGCCCCC